GCTAGACTATATTCATCATAAAATCAATCTTACTTCTGAATTAGTAGATCGTATGATTGGAACTCATACAAATTCTATTGAAGGATTCTAGGTTCATCCGAATAGACGTATTGTATTAGCAAATGGTTCGCGATATGATGTGAAATACAGCCACTTGGATTTCTTCTCCCAACATCCTATGAGAAACTGGGAACAACTTTAACAGCATATTAGTGTATACTTTGTTTAACTCAGTTTTATTAAGATGTGCATCTGATAAATACACTTTAAAACATAAATACCACTTTTCACCGAGGAGAATATAATTGGTTGGGCCAAGGTCATTTGACTTTGGTGTCTATTGTTTACTTTTGCCACAATCTGCAATCTGTTTTTCGAGACATTTGTTGTAATCCACTGAAATCACCTCTCAGTTGTCAAAGGCTTCTAGTGCTCGTAATGTGTGCTTCATGCGATTGTATTGACACATAGGCAATGCTGAGCGATCTGACTGGTTGGTTCGAGGTCATTTGCCTTTGGTGTCTCTTATTTACGCTTGCTGACACATATACGCCATCGTACAATGGCTATAAAGAGTCATATAGGTTCGGTGAATGTTTGAATATTCTGGGTGCACTGTAGTGTCTGCAGTAGACATTAGGTAAAACTTAGGGCACATTCCAGATATTGACAACTTCTGGCAAACTTGTTCTACACTTTGAGGTGCTTCCAGTGTTTTCTGCCCTTAATATCTACACTACGCCTGAAGGTATTCCATAGTGGGTCGTAACTGGGAAACAAGTGTATCACGTCACTCTCACTTCGTCTCCAGTTTTCATGCATCCCGGAATATTGGAAAGGCTTTAGAAGTATTTCGAAACTACAAAGCTGCACAAAAAGTCATTATCCTTGACAAGGTAGTCTGTTCAAGGTAGCACTCCTCGGAATTAGTTCAGATGTATTATTTCCATTTTGTTTACTTCACAACCATGAAAAATAACAGTACAAGATAATCACATTGCGCTTAGATGTTGCAATTAATAGTGATTTCTGAGCTGGTTGGTTTAGTTGCGGAGCTTTAGTCGTTCTTCTGGACAAAATCTTCAGCGCAATATTTAGCATAAGGTGAGATGATTTAAATTTTTCATTAGTCATATTAAATGTTGTTGTAACGAGAGCTAATGATTAAATGAATGTTAGCTGAATGCGGTTTGTTAACAACTTTATCAAGTCTCAAACCATTCTGAGATTCTTAGCCAAAATAATATCCATTGACTTCGTGGGTCGGTGCTATTTATTCGTAAAATTAGTCCTAACTCTGTCAGTGTAATCCTACCTCGATCAATACCATTTACTGAAAGTTCTGTTATGTGATGTTTAACACGTTTCGGTCACCTTAAATGATAAAACTTGGCAACCTCATCGGTTGGTTTTCTTAACTTACATCTACTATCAGCAGTAATTGTCGTGTTCTTGTACTTAACGCATGAAAGTGGCCTTGTTCGAATTGCATCTGGAATTTGTTTTCTGTGTAAAGATGTAAAGATGCCAGTCTGTATCGATTGTCCTAACCTCTAGAATCTGGGTTGATCTGTGATTACTTATCCTGGGCATCTGGAAGTGTCACCCCCTAATCTATTCGCAAGTGGCGTTAAACTAGCTTGTAGACGTTGTTTCAAAAAGACTGCTGACTGAGTCATCATCGTAGAATTTAGCAAAAATGTACTGCGCTTCAGGTTGCCTTGTAGTTTATAGAGGTAGCGAAAATTCAGGGGAACTATAACGAACAAAAATTTAGAGAAAAAGAATAGTTCCACGGAGAAAAATAAATTTAACATATCTGCGTGTTCGTAATGAGTGATTGCATCTGTGCACTTGAGAACAGTTTTAAGCCGTATCTCTAACAGTGTCAAGCTGTAGGTTCTTAGTTTCAAGGATCTCAGATGGACGGTCCACATCTCTCTACTTGGTTCAAACTAACATTCAAAGACATATTGACACTAAGTTTAGGCTTGGTCACCTCTAACTCTCCCAACTTAATTCGATGTCTTCTACTATTGCTCGACGAAGAGGGCGATGGCTTAGTATGCGTAACGTGTCCTGGTTATCTCAATCGATGCAGCATCAAAACCTCCTCGATTTAACTGACCTAAATATTACTTAATATTATACAAATTAACGCGAGATAGGACATACGTATGGTCAGAAACAGCTCTCTTTGGGTATCCCGCTTCTAGTGATCATGTTTCATAGCCATAAAGGACAGAGTGATCGGCTGCGCGGTAAACACGCGTTCTGACCAACATCTAGATATTATGTCTACGCCAGAGACGATATAAGTTGGCAAATGCCTTTTGTATCCGTGCTGATACTTCGTCAGCAATCAGTCTATTACAGCTGATGCAACTTTCAAAATAAGTGAAGTAATCAACATGCCCAACAACTTCACTAGCCTCGTATCATCATTTTACATTTGACAAGGGTGAGTCGCATGCCAAACATGCCAAGGTTTCTGTCCAAGGTGTTCTGTAGGCTCTGCATTTTGTTAGCGTCCATCAAGAAACATAATTTCGTGTGTATACTCTAGATCAGCGAGACTAGGCACTGGTAATAGGTCAATCCCTAAGTCGTTTAAGTCGACTAGGGACACATCCTTCAGTGAGTCTGTGATGAAGTTAAACAAAAATGGAGACATTAGATGTCACTGATAGGCACTACCGGCTATCATCACTTCTGGTGACCACTCTCCGTAAGCTTTTAAAGACTGTGAGTTTGAGTAGAGTACGATGACTAGTGTGATGATATACGTTTTTGGCACTGCGGCCAAACACTGCCACAGCACCCCGGTCGAATGCTACCTTGAATTCACGAAATATGGCAAGTGTTGGACGCCGGTAAATATCCCCATGTTCGAAAATCCATCAAAGGGTGAGCATATGGTCATTATACGCTCTTCTTGGTCTAAATCCTGCGTGGGCTTGTTTTTCCCGAACACCACTTAGTCTGCGCATGATTATTGAACCTAGAACTATAGATACGATATTAGTCGGTCTTATTTCCTTATGATTATCACAGCAAGACTTGTCTCCCTTCTCATAGACTGTGGTAAACAGTGATTTACACCAGTCCCATGGAACTATCTCTGATTCCTAGACGCTACCTAATACTTTACCTTAACCCAAATAACAATTTGTCGTCACCGTCCTTAAACATCTCTGGAGTCGGTGGCACAGTGGTTAGGACTCTCGGCGACCATGCACATGGTCCGGGGTCCGAGCCCATGCCGACGCACACTTGATATCTATGGTCGGCCTGCGAATTTTGGGCTACCGATATCCACGCTGAAAATTCCATACTTGTACCAAAAATACGGTGTGGAATCAAGCTGTAATCAAAAATCAAAAATAAAATAAAAATAAAAATCAGGCCTTGCCTTTTTGTCTCGTTACAGTTTAGAGGCAATGTTTTTAATCTCAGTAATTAAAGCACTTTCCTTCTCGGAAATTATTTCGTATTTCATTAGTTTTTTGCAACGCGTTTCCATAATTAGTCTAAATAGACTGCATGCTTTGAAATTGAAATGCTGGATGTTATAACAGCTTCAGTTTCAACATTTGAAAATGCATAGCTGTGTATCGATAGTCAAATAAAAGGTGAGACGTTAAGCCATACCCACGACATCTCTCAGAAAGAATTTCTATCTTAACTCATTCAGTGTACTACATACTAGTTCTTATCATACATGAATTTGCATCTACTGTGGAAACAGCTTGAGTCCGTGATAGCATAACTTTTTTTATCCACTTTCAAGAAATCTGTTAGGGTCCAGCTAAAGGTAGTCCCTTTGTCAAAATGTTAAAGACGGTAGACTTCAGTTGTTGAGCTAAAGAGTAAAGGTCACTTGAAATTCCTCAACTTTGTACTACGCAACAGCTTTAAATGTGACTTAGTAATAATTTCTGAGATCACCCATCGATCAAATCCTGTGTAAAAACGACCCTATCAACCAGAGTGAATGTCTACAAATTGATTTTGCCCTATAGTAGGTAGTTTAACATCCCCACTCCATACGAATGGTGCTGACTGGTGAATGGTAACTTAAATTTCTTTTATACGTCTTAGGATGCCCGAAGCTGATTAATTATGGTGCGACTAATTCATCAAGTGTTTAGTGCATTCAACATTTTACTTCTTTTGCTTAAACTAAAAGTCTGGATGCTAAATATAGAGTGAACTTATTCAAATTTCTACCTAAGGAGTACGGTAGATCTCGCATTTTATTAGCCACTTGGAGTAATAAGATTACACTCAGCGTACAGTAACTCAACATTTAGTTACTGTAGAATAATTGGACAGTGTGAACTGTATAGTATCATTATTCGTAAGTATTCATATTTTTCAGCCGGAGTGAAACTGCAGTACCTTCAAAAGTTGTTGGTTGGTCTACTGAAAATTCTCAAAAATACAAGCAAAGTTCAGTACTTACCCTCCAAAAATGTAAATATCAAGTCCCTCAGACTTGTACACAGGAACAAACAAAGGTCACTTAAATTGGCTGTGATTCCAATTGGCTGGCCTAAGTTATAACAGAGAATCAGGTTTCATATGTGCGTTATTGTTGCTGTTGTTTTGAAATCCAGTCTTTTTTAAATAGGGGTGTCGACTTCCAAAAACATCTTAACACAACGTAATGTTTGTCTTATCACTGGTTGTGCGAGTTTCTATGATCATTGGTGCAGGATCTAATATAAACATTTTTACAAAGCGCTCTCTTTTGTGATGCTTCTCACTCGATTGTATTCGTAATTGTTGAGGAAATATAGTGGAAAATTTCCCTATAGGTACTGGATTTTCGCTGAATTCTGCGTAGTCTTTATTCAGTGTGATTTTCTGCTTTTTTCCCATGGTAAGGATTGGAATAATTTGTTTTTTAAATGTTTTCAAAAATACGTTCAGCTCTTAAGTTTTGTCTTTAAATGAACATTCCTTTCTTCAGGTATTGCTGTCCCCCACATCTTTCAATGAATCCTGCTGAGCTAGAATTTCTTTCAGAAGAGGAGGGTTTAACTATTGTACCTAGGTTTAAACTAGATATTGTTAAGTTGCTCAACACTACTGTAAGTTCAGCGGTTCGCTAAGAATTAAGTGTTATATTGTCAATAGTTTCTGTTTTCTCACCAAATATGATCGGTGTTACTTTTTTAGTTTTATTATGCATGTGAATTACGTGGAGAGGTGTTTCCTGTCTGCTTAGGCTCTTCAGTGTAAAGGATTGATTTTTTACAAACGCTAGTTACTATGGTTTGTGTTAAGGTCTCCGTTTATTTTCTTATCTTTTCATTTTGGTGGACTTCCTCTGCATATACTACTGGACAGTATGGCTGCTGTAACCCATAGATATTCTTGAGTCAGTGTATAATGTGTAAACACAGGTTTTTATTAGTAACAACAATTTCAGATTGTTATCATTGGTTAAGGCAATATAATTTCATGCATAGAGATACCACTAGTCAACTTATCTATTTAAATGTAGTCAAGCTGTACTCCGGTTTATCGACTGGAATTCACAGACCTTCGATCAATAATCTAGAAGTTCGCGAACGACAGTTGTGAGATGTCTGTCTGTTTGTTTTCAACATAGAACTTTGCACATATGTGCACCAGTTCAAGTCGCCACACTCCATGTAGCACACAAAGCAAGAGAAGAAAGTACAAGAAAAGCATAATAGAGACAGTAAGCAGAGGTGTGAGACAAAGGTTAGAGTAATAACGAAGAACAAAACAGTTTCCTTGGAAATCATAAGTCACAAGGAGTGGATGCATCTTCACAAGCCACTGAGAACGATTTTGAACCATGTCACCAATTGTTTCCAGCCTTCATTGGTTTTTACCGTCCCGAGAACCCCAGGAGGTCAGGAAGTCTACACCATCCTACGTGGCTTAGACTAACTGTTGTAGATTTCATTGACTGGTGCCATGTTTTTGTTTGACCTCCACTAGCTCTTTTCCAGCCTGACCCTAAATGTGAGATGCATTCAACTAAAACACAATAATACACCACATTTCGTTTTTTTCCATTATCCTGTCATCATACCTGTAGTTTGAAGAGGTCCAAAGAGCTCATACATTTCATATCTTTCTCATTCTAAGAATATGCGTTACACATTTGCTATTATCCTCATCTTTTCAACTTTTGGGCTATTTTTTTAAAAGTAGAAAATCTGCCAGAATTTATTACTCGAATCAGCTCTACATTTGAGAGATCTAAGTTTGTCGTTTTATACACGAGAAAAAAATGTTCGCTTCCAATTCAATGAGTTTGCAATGTAGACTAGTGAAAAAAATCATTTCCTTAAGACATTTTGGTTGAGTGAATTTCTCAGACTTAGAAATTAACTAAACTTAAAAAAAATCCTATTTCTCCTTACCTTTGTTGCTTGTTTGGGAGCAGACAAGGTTGAAATAGACGTATGTCTATAATCCCTTGATCACGTGAATCTAACTAAATGCTTTCAGTCACTTCACTCCAATTTTTAAAGGCTTTAAATGTAAATCCATGTGATATCATTATTCTAAAGCAATGAAATTAATTTAATCCTATGTACAATTGATTGTAGTTTAGTCATCTGATTCACTATCTTAGAACTTTTTTTCTCTGTTCTCCGTAAAATAACTGTCTGTAGAATGTTTTCCTTTGAGGGTGACTGAATGACTGATGAGTGTTTTATTAAGAACGAAAAGTTTGGGGTTGAAATCTAATGAAAATTGTTCAGCTAACCATCAAGTTTATTCTAGTATTGGTTTAAAGGGATTTGATTAATTGGTTACAGGATTTCATCATGAGCTGACATCGGTTAGAGAACCATTGGAAGACCTGGAAGTACTGAACAGCTGTTTCGTACCATTTTAGGACTCTTCATCAGTGCGCACCCACCGGGGTTCGAACCTAGGACCTTCTGGTTACAAGGCGAGCTAGCTCGTGGACCATTAAGCCACTGGGACCCGATCCAATGGACAGCCTATGAATTCTAACTTCTGCCGATTCACGACATGGCGCGACCGGTAGTCAATGTCTTCGCCGAGTATTTGTCCTCACACTCGACCTTCTGCACCCTACTCGTCTACGAGCTTGCCTTGTATCCTGAGGGTCCTAGGTTCGAACCCCGGTGGGTGCGTACTGGTGAACAGTCCCAAACTAGGACGAAACGCTGCCCAGCACTCTTAGGTTTTCCAATGATTCTCTAGCCAATGTCATCTCATGATGAAATCCCGTAACCATCAAGTGATTTCTTTAATCACATTGATTCTGCTATTTCTGTATACTAGGAAATATACATTTAGAAAATTTGACAATAAATGAACGTCTTCTAGTTGTATTTGATTGCACATGTTTAATGTTATCCTCACTGAAAAATACATCAAAAGAACGAAAAGTGGTCTTGCTGAAAAAAACCTATCACTTAACCTTCTGATAGTATTGAAGTAAGACACGTCGTTAACACAAGTCTTTGGTTAAATTGCTATATAATTAATTGTTAGGACGAACAAGCTTCTTTATTAGTCATGAAGTTATGATTTATGCATAGACTGACATGATAACCTGATTGGACAATTTTGATTTGGTTTACAGTTTAAATTCCCGAAGATTTGTAATGTCATACAACCAGTCAGATTTGTTTAATTTGTTGATGGCTTTAATTCTTTGAGGTTTTGTAGGTATGATATACCATGTATTTTGTCTCATAAAGTGGTTACGCTCGTCGTGGTTGACTGGATTTTGTGTGTCTATCTCAGTGTAGGGGATATTTTCAAATGATCAGTTGGTTAGTGTCGTGCAGACATTGTTTAAAAGAGTTCGAACACACTGTAGAGTTGAAGAGAATGGAAGAAAAATACTTACACACGGTCTTCAAAAAGAATGGTTATCCACAAAATTTGATCGTAAAGTGTTTAAAATCGAATAACAACATCAACAAGGAGCCATCATCAAAGACTACAAGAAAATTCATCCTACCATATATAAGCGAAAATATCTCTGAAATAACAGCTAGAATTTTGAAATCGCTTGAAGTAGACATAGCACACAAGTAAGTCAAATCGCTGATTCGATATTATGCAAACCGAAAGATCCAACAGAAAAAAGAGGTAAAGTTAATACCATTTACAAAATAAATTCCGTGTATGAACTGTAACAGGCATTACATCGGCCAAAGTGGGAGTCCCCTTCGAATCAGAATCCAGGAACACAAATCAACCGTGAAAAGATATGATATATATTATTTCATATCAATGCATATAGACAATTATGGACATCAGTTTGATTGGGATAATGTCGAAATCTTAGGCAGAGGAAACACCAAAAGTGCCAAGGAATTTGTAGAAGCCTGGTCCCCAAAGAATATGTAACTAACAAGCACGCTAATATACACCAAATATACCAACTAATAAAAAGTAAATCGTGTGAGCAGAAAGTTTAAAATTCAAGTCAATAGAAAATGATTGATACATATGTAAAGATGGTTACCGGGAGACGCAATTCTATCACTCCTGAAAAATTTAAATCATTTCACTTTATGCAAAGTTTTGCGCTGAAGATGTTGTCCAGAAAGACGACGAAAGCTCCGCAACTAAATCAACCAGCTCAGAGAACACTATTAATTGGTTAGTGTCGTGTTTTGAGGCGCATTTTAGTCAGGCTAGACGAACCCACAAATCAATAACACTTCATCATAACATTAATGAACACAGAAGTAATAAAGGATAATGTTTCACAACACTAGTAGCCCAGCCCATTACCCAAGACCTAGTCTATGTGTACATGTAGATACTATTGTGTGTGTGTGTGTGTTGTATCATGCACCTTGAAGATTTAGTATTTTTTCTTTGGCTTTCTTTATCTCTTTTGCGTGCATTGTTTTTTTCCTTCATTTACATAAGAAGTGTTTTTTTATATCATTTGGGATTATATTTATGCAATAGTGTTTGTTGCAAAATTACGTTTATTATTCTTACAACCTTAAGTGAATAATGTGGTTGAAATATGGTGACAACAACAATGATTACTAATTCAGTGTAAAATGTGTTTATACACTAAATTGACAGATTGGTCCTTTCTTCCCAAATGTACCAATTACTGTCCCACTTTGGGTTGCTCTTCATTTACGCGGACAACAAAAATGTCGTATCATACCGCCAGCTTGGTTAACTTTGGAGAAGTTGAATGAATGGAAAGAAACTGAAGAGAATGATTCTGGATGTACATCTCCACCACATCCTCAATATATTGAAATTAGTACTCTTCTCTTAGAGCATGCCCCTGAAGACATACCAAAGTTAGTTATATTAATATCTTTGTTTTATTGTTTCAATCTAAAATGGAATATTTTTTTATAGTTCATCAAGTTAAATGAAACTGATTTATTGTGGTTAAGCTTGGAGGTGTGACTCACCGACTTGGTTATTCAACACTTTTACTTAGTGAGTCATGGTTTCGAATACTTTGCCATCTAATCAAGTTCAACCATACAGATATTATTATTATCATCTGTCACACATGCATCTGAGTCAATGAACTATACAGTTAAAGCATATGATGTCTGTTAGCGTCAGTGGTTCAGCGGTGGGACGTTCGCTAACCACGCACGCATGTGGTTCGGGGTTCGATTCTCGGCCGACGCACTCCTAAACCTCGATGAACCGGTAGTAAGGCGGGTAAAGTGGGGGGGGGTTGGGCATGAGGCTAGTAGTGACTCTACCCCGTAAAAATAAAACGACTGCTACCGAAAATTCAAAAGCTCCGGCTTCAAGCCCTATGTTCCACTGGGAACGTAAAGGAACAAAATAAATCTGTTACCTGTGTTTATATTCAACATTTTTTTGTTACAAATATAATAAAACTAACACAGTTTTACACTACCATGATTTGGAATGTAAATATTAGACTTTACTTCTGAAAGAGAAAGAGAGATAACCGCTTCGCGGCGCATAGGTGAATAAGGCTCCTTAATGAAGTGAATGTTGAAGATTTCATCAAGCCTGGTAATGAAATATGTTCTTCACAAATAAGTATCAACGCTCAATCAAAGCACCCGAAACAACTTCCATTTTCATCCTAAGTTATAAATTATTTCGAGGAAATCAATGTCACTTAAGACAGTCAGCTGTTAATTTAAATACATTGCTATTTAGTTGAGGAAAAAAATCCAAGGATAAATGGTAGATGAAGCTATCGGACTGGTGATTGCTGATTATCAACGTGATAAGTATAGTACTGCTTGGTGCTTCTCATTGTAATACGTTCTTGTCTCTCACTAGTTGTAGTTAAAAAAGAGTCAGTTTTTTCCCAGCTCTTAGTGATTTGTCCTATTGAGTTAGTCAGTCAGTCACTTTTTCATGGTGATAGTTGTGAACAAGTAGCTTATCTGCAAAAGCAATTCTCTTTGGGATGTAAGGAAATGCAATAAAATATTACTCAACAACCAACCAATTATAATTCTATGGAGTTGGCAATGAACCATACCTATTGTGTATATGAGGATTAGTGATACTGTCTGACTGTCCAAACCTCGACAGACGGGGCAAGATTCGAATCCGCTACCTTGTAGCCACAGCTCTACACTTTGGAATGCGGTAGTTTTAAAATTAGTTAATGATGCAGCTTGTTAATTTATGAAGTTGTCTTTCATGTAACACATATCAGGGTCGGACACAGGTCCAGCTGATTCGCCGTAGAAAACTAAATGGTGTCATATAATTTTAATGATCATCAAGATAGAGAAGGGGATTAAAACTATCCTGTTTGAAGTTCAGAAACAGGATTAAAACTGTAGTGTGTGTTACGAGTATGATTAACTGAAATACCTTTTGGTCATTGTGATCGGTGCTACTCTTTAGTATATCTTTTTGAAAAATTATTATTATTATTATTGAAATGCAAACTTGGCGCATTATCGTCACTAAGAGATGCACCGCATGAAATTCCATAGTTTGTGTAAAGGCTGAAATACTACCACGACGCCCAGAGACCCCCCCCGAGGCTTTGACTTGAAGTCTCATCCACAAGAAATGGGAGCAGCGTCAGGAGCTACGTTCCCATGGTTACCTATGGCCAATACAGGTTCATATATCATTCGAACCTTTCGAATACTGGAGCCTATTTGCATCATAGCTTTGGATTGGAATCCGGTTTTTTTTAGCTCCAGTAGGTAGACCTGCATGTCCACCTGCGCCAAACGTCCGCATTCACCGTTAAGCTTTTGTGAGGAACACCTTGGCCATATGAAAGCAGTGAATAGGACTAACATGGCGAAGACCATGAACACATGGCCACACAAGATCATTTGGAGAGGATGACCGAAGTCTACCGACCCTCAGCCGTGCCAGGGTCGTTTATGGAGGCGTATATATGTATAAATCGTCTATTAAGACAACGGTTTCTACCTTTAATATGACCTTTAGTTGTTCTACCGGTCTTTCCATACTCTTAACGCATGATAATTATTTTTCATACAGTATGAGATGTTGTTACCCATTAACCACTTTATCAACTTCAATGTTGATGGTAAGATTTGCTTAACCTTTCTTGTTTCTTTTTTGTTTTATTCTGTCGACATTATATTACTAGTCCTGAAAGTATACGTAATACTGTCCGTGATGTATGGGATATACGTGTTGGAAAAGTACTATCCTCTCTGAATGGCTTTCTGTCTAGTGGATCGTCAACAGCACGTGTTAGTCAGTTAACTAACATGGAGCTGTCCACCATACATAATCTTTTAACTAATTCAATGGATCAGTTATCTTTATTACGTCAGGCTACTTCACAAACGGTTGAATATGCTGGCGGTGGATCAGTTAATCGGACATCATTTTTAAATTCATCTTCTATGGGAAACTGAAATAATAATAATGATAATTATATTAATGGAAATTATTTTCTACTTGTTTTTATGCATTTGTTACATTCAAATTTTTAACCAACATATATATGTTTGAAATGTTTTAGTATAGATTTTGCGGATGTTTTGTGTGTGTCTGACCTCCTAGTTTGATGTTTATTTTGGAATAATGTACATAAATTCTATTTTTTGTTCAATAGGAATATTATCATTTTGTGAAGAGGAAAATATTCATCCCTTCACTCTAAATGTACAGTTATTTTTTATAAAAAAAGAGGTTAAATGTACGTGTATTAATAATTCTTCATGATGAAATATGAAATCGTACACAGGTGTATCAAATCTAGCAAGTGATCGCATCACTGTACTATGAAAACCCCCTATGCACAACACATCATTCCTTTGCCTTCTGAATGAAATATAAGACTTCAGTCTTGAGCTCTGTAATTTCAACAGCGACGGTGTTTTCTCACGGGGCGCCGTTACACCAGTCGGCCGCTCGAACTTCACCTTTTATCTTGCTAACTATCTACCGAGGTTTAAGAGTGCGTCGGCGGGGAATTGAACCCGGATCATGTAGGTGGTTAGTGAGTGAGTATTCTACCACGGGACCACCGATACACCACCACTTAACTTTCAGGTTACATATAATTACAGCATAGTATTGATTTACTTTCTTTCTAACCGAATGGTGGTGAAGTAGAATAACCTATGTTTTATTCATCCACAGTACTTTAACAGGCGGCAGTATATGATAGGCAATACGAAAACTATTTCCACACTGAGAAGGCAAAGTTTGTTCTTCCAGTAAAGAGATAAATGATCAAGTTTGGGTTTTCTGTGTTAATAAATCACCAGAAAGGGATTTATCTTTTTTCCGACGACACTTGAACATTCCATTAGTTCTACCCGTTGTATATGTATCCCTGTAACTGCAGGTAAACTTTAAGGGTGAAGTAGGGTTTATAGAATCTAGTTCTTTATTCACCATTGCATTAAGGGGAAATGTTTTTAAGAGGATTAAGAAAGGGAATGTCGTGTGTGATTTGAATTTTCTTAGGTAGTCAGTTAGTTTTATGAGATTTTGTATTACGTGTTTAGAGGAATGATGTAGCCATCATCGTTTGAGGTGTTTTACGTTTGGCTGTTATTTTTTATAGGTGCTTTACCAACTTTTTTCTACACAACTATAATATCTGTTGTAGTGTAGCGTTTTTCTGCTGTTAGCAAAAACACCTCTAGAAAGCTTTCATCCTCACCCTCGCACGGTCACTCACATTTGACATATTATAGATAATAGTTATATTAATTATCAAAGTATTCACATGTGATAGAGAAGACTTGTGCGTCGGTGGCACAGTGGTTAGGACGCTCGCCGACTATGCACATGGTTCGGGGTTCGATCCCCGGCCACCGACGCATTCCTTTACTTCACTAAGCCAGTAGTGAGACAGGTAAAGCGGAAAGGTTGGGTATGAGGCTAGCAACCCCATCCTGTAAAAATAAACACTGCTACAGAAACTTCTAGCTTGGAGCCCTATGTTCCACTGGGAACGTAAACGAATCGATATAGAGAAGACTTGCAGCTCAGGTGGATGAGTGTGACCTAGTTGTTCTCTCCGAGCTAGTTGATTTAATTGTGAAGCTTTCGTCGTCCTTCTAGACAACATCTTCAGCGCAGGTTTTAGTATGAAATGAAATTATTTGAATTCTCCATGAATGCTGATATAATTGTATCTCTCCTAACAACTATCCTCTTGATTAGTTGATAATTTATGTCTGCTGATCATTTTTATTGACTTGGAATTTGAACTTTCTTGTCATTTGATTAGCTTTACACCACACAAAATCTATGAGTCTATGGTGGTAGTGTGTTTTTTAATTGCTGACTAACTTGAGTACCAGGCCTCTAGAAACTCCCTGGCATTCTTGGTGTTTCCTCCGTTTAAAATGTCTACATTATCCCAATCAGATTGGTGTCCGCAATTATCTACGTACATTGATATGAAACGATATAGGAAATTAACGTACACAGACCAAATACTCAACTATCGTAGTAATAACCTAATTACCCACAAAAGAAACTGTGTGCAGATATTGTTTAAAAGAGTTCAAACACACTGTTGCACTAGTGAGAATGGAGGAAAGATAGCTACTAGCCATCTTCAGAAAGAATGGATATCCTTACAATTTCACCAACAAGGGTTTAAACTCGAGTCATAACACCATCAAACACCGCAAGAAAATTCATCCTACCATGTATAAAAAACATCCCTGAAATAACGGCTAGAATACTAAGACCATTTGAAATAAACACAGCACACGAGCCATCACAGTCACTTCATTCGATTTTGTGCAAACCAAAAAATCCGACAGAAAAAGAAGGTAAAGTTAATACCGTTTACCAATAAATATGAACTGCAATAAACATTACATCAGTCAAAGTGTGTGTCCGCTTTGAATCCGAATCCAAGAAGACAGATTGGCTGTGAAAAGACATGATGTGTATTCTTTCATATCAATGCACGTAGATAATTGCGGACACCAATCTGATTGGGATAATGTAGACATTTTAAATGGAGGAAACACCAAGAATGCCAGGGAGTTTCTAGAGACCTGGTACTCAAGTGAATCAGCGATTAACAAACAAACTACTACCATAGACCCTCAAAGACTGAGATGATTAGGACACGTGTTACGTGTGCCTAGTCATCGCCTTCCTCGACGAGCAATGTTTGCGGATACAGGGTCAGGCTGGAAAAGAGCTAGTGGAGGTCAAACAAAAACATGGCACCAGTCAATGAAATCTACAACAGTTAGTCTAAGCCACGTAGGATGGTGTAGACTTCCTGACCTCCTGGGGTTCTCGGGACGGTAAAAACCAATGAAGGCTGGAAACAATTGGTGACATGGTTCAAAATCGTTCTCAGTGGCTTGTGAAGATGCATCCACTCCTTGTGACTTATGATTTCCAAGGAAACTGTTTTGTTCTTCGTTATTACTCTAACCTTTGTCTCACACCTCTGCTTACTGTCTCTATTATGCTTTTCTTGTACTTTCTTCTCTTGCTTTGTGTGCTACATGGAGTGTGGCGACTTGAACTGGTGCACATATGTGCAAAGTTCTATGTTGAAAACAAACAGACAGACAGATAGACCCTCACACAAACAATGCGATTTTGTCTGTTGTCGTCGTTCCCTTGGATTCCTAGTGGAACATAGGGCTTCAACTGCACGTCTCCACTTGCCACTTCTGTCTTCTGCTCTACTTTTCGCCTGCATCCATGTTAGTCCATACTCTTTCAACTCCTGTTCACACGATCTCCTCCATGTAACCCTTGCACTGACGACCCACTCGCCGCTTCCCTTTCGGCCTGGTTCCACTCGAGTAATGGCCTGACGCGCGCGCGATGTCACCCAGTGGCGGCCTCCTCAGCGAGTGTCCAATCCATCTCAATCCACTTTCTTTTGCATATTTGTTGGTTGGCGATTGGTTCTTGTTTAGTTTGTTCCCAGCCATAGTTTCTTGTTGGTGATTGTTTCCGGCCCGGCCATCTGATCTTCAGTATAGAGCAAAGACAGGCAGTTGTTGAGGAAGGTCTGCAACAGGCTGTTGGAAATATTTTTTGTGACCCGCCTGCCAAGTTTCTGATCTGTATAGAAGAACTGACTGACTTGACGTTGTTTATATTGAAAATCCGACGGAATTTTGTTGTTGATGCAGAGTGACGAAGATTTCCAGATTTGTTTCAGGTTGATGAATGTGTTTCTCGCCTTCCCGATTCTCAATTCGACATCCTCGTCCGTTCCTATTGTAGTTGAGATTTTGTGTAGTGTGAAGCAAATCATATGACAAGAAAGTTCAAATTCCAAGTCAATAAAAATGATCAGCAGAGACATAAATTAGCAATTAATCAGGAGGATAGTTGTCAGGAGAGATACAATTATATCAGCATTCATGGAGAATTCAAATAAGGGTAAAATTAGACTTTAAGCACCACCAATCAGCGAATGAACCTGAACGCACCAATAACATGAAGAAGGCATTTCTGGTTATAGAAACATATAAGTATGAAAACAGTGTATAAATACTGCATAAAACTGTTGCACAGTATAACTTTATCTGACATGTGATAAAAACATCTCCCAGTTTAGCATTGGAGTATCAACTGAAAAGTTACACCACACTCTGTGCATATATTCATCTAAATGACTATAAATGACATTCTACTCAGATCATTTATTGGCCCTAATTATGTTTTTTCTAACTTTTCCCAAAAACCTTCTATAGAATGGATGTGTTTCCCTGTAATGCGATCCACTAAAACATTAGAGTGGTTCACTTTGTGGTGAATATATCCAATGGATGACAAGGAGTTATAACCTTTCCACTCATCGGTGTGTGTTATAGATCCATGTTTCACAAGTCGAGTGATAATAGGTATTAAGGTGGTTGACTTTCTGTCTGTTATCCTCTCGACGATTCCTTTCTGTAGAAAGGTGTCTCATAAGCCGATCACCCAAACATTGTTTGCTCGTTCACGATCACGGTTGGATTTTTTCTTTAATAAGACAGTTTCATCCTAAATGTACGATGACACCTCCTTCAAACAACGAATTAATTCTCTCCATTTTCCATAACGTTATATCTTTGCAGTGCTGGTACCACCGAACTGTTGATACGAGATTATTTTCAGTTTCAGCTGCTGCACCTCTCACAGGCTGTTTTAAAACCCAGTAATTACAAATAAACAAAATCTGGGTTAAGGACAGATGAGACCTGACAAAAAATGTTCCTACGAAATATTAGAATCAGCTTACCTTCACTGACACTAACTCGTCTCAAACAAATCGCACAACAATGGATATCTCCATCAGTCGACCTGCTGAAGCTTTTTATGCTCATGATACCTCAACATGAACAAATCCTCTCCTTCCTAAGCAACTCCACATCCAAGCAAAACTGGAAAATCTTATCCTCACCTAACTGCATGCACATCT